TGGTAACGTGTTCCTGACGCTAGAATAGGAAACCACGGTAAACCAGTACGACGCCAGTACTGTCTGTAGGTCCTACAATGATATGGACTGCTTTGGCTGGTGAGGCGCTAGCGTCTGATACAACGTTTTTCCGTTTCCGTACCACACAAGCGAAGACACTTATTTTGAGTGGTACCACGTGGGTGGCGCCAGCATACCACAGGACTTGTTTCCGTTGTTGTGAGACGATACATGCTCATTCTTGTTCTGTGGTTGTCGTTCCGGCCTCAATGTGGTATGCTGGCTCATTCGTCTACGAAATACACGTGAGTAGCTCTCTCTGGTTGGAGGTTCTGATGGTTGTGGTTGTCCCGATGGTTGTCGCAATGATTGTCCCGATGGTTGTCCCGATTGTTGTTCCGATGGTTATCCCGATGGTTGTCCTGATGGTTGTCCCGATCGTTGTCCCGATGGTTGTCCCGATGGTTGTCCCGATGGTTGTCCTGATGGTTGTGGTTGTCCCGATCGTTTGACAGAAAAAGTTGTCCCGATGGTTGTCGCGATGATTGTCCCGATGGTTGTGGTTGTGGTTGTCACGTGAAAAAGTTGCTCGCAAGAGCCCGTTTGACAGAAATGTTGAAACAATATTGGGTTTCCTCAGAAATATGCAAGAGCGCGCGGGATGAATTTTTGAAACTTTTTTTTTTGAAAAACCATTGGGTTTTTCATTTTTTTAATCGTTACGAAAACTAAGGTTTTGGAAGGATTTCATCTTGCGCGCGCGAGTGTGCACTTCGTGCCATTTTTTGCAAAGGATTCTTGAAGTTTGGTTATGTTAGAACAAGACATTTCATTTTATATTGTTTTTTGACAGGGAAAGCGGGCGTCAACAAAACAACCGGATCTGGATCACATCGTTTTGCCTGAGACTTCCTCACGAAAATTATGAAAATGAGGCTGCGGCCTAGGCGCGGCGAGGGGGCCATGCACCAGGGGTCCCAACAATAATTATTCTTTAGAAATAATAATGTTCAACAACAACAACAACAATTACAATACAAAGGTTACAAATTTCCATGCCATGTCTTAGCGGCGCGCAATAGCCTTGGGCCGCTCGGCCCCTCGGCTGGCGCAATTCTATGGTTTTGTTTGTTTGTGTGTGTTTTCGCTTGTCCGTCGGCTGCACTGGTCGCCCCGGGCTCGCCCGCCGCCCCGCGGTCGCTCGGCCCCGCGGCCGGCCCCATTCCTTGTTTCTTTTCGCTTGTCCGTCGGCGGCGCTGGTCGCCCCGGGCTCGCCCGCCGCCCGGCGGTCGCTCGGCCCCGCGGCCGGCCCCTGTTCCATGCTGTTTTGGTCATCATTTGTTGTCGCTTGTCCGACTGCTGCTGATGCCGACGAGAATGCTGATGCTGATGCTGATGCTGATGCTGGCGAGAGTGCTGATGCTGATGCTGATGCGGCTGCTGCTGATGATGCTGATGATGATGAGGAGGAGAAGGAGCGAGGAGGAGGAGGACGAGGAGGATGAGCAATTTTCGGATGATGATAAGAAGGGAAGAGGGAACCATACGACGACGACGACGACCCTCCCTGGCCGCCATACCGTTCGACGCCCCCGCCGCGGTCCTCCTGCACGAGGCCCTGGTCTGCCAATTCGGCCACCACCGCGGGCAGCATGTCGTTGTAGAAGGACCTGCGGCCGAGGATGATGATGATGATGATGATGATGAGGAGTAGCAGGATGTCGGTGAGGATGACGAGGGCGAGGTGAACGAGGGAAGGGAGGGGGCGAGTGAGGAGGGGAGATGAGGACCAGGAGCAGGAGGATGGGCAGCAGGATGATGGGGGAGGAGGACGACGAGATGGAGAAGGAGAAGGAGGGGGAGGTGAAGGTGAGGAGGAGGACGAGGAGGAGGATGGGCAGAGGAAGCGGAGAAGGAGGGTGAGGACGAGGATGAGTAGGAGTAGGAGGAGGAGGAGAAGGAGGAGGAGGAGGAGTAGGAGGATGAGGAGGAGACAGAGGAGAAGACAGAGGAGGTGGAGGTTGAAGAGAAATCATCCGTTGCCGGCGCAGGCGCGCGGCTCGGGGAAGGGACTCTCCGCGCTCTTCGAGGTCGCGGATGCCTAGCCGGCCGTAGATCTCATTGAACTCGGACCTGCCGTGGAGGATGGGATGTAGGAGACGGAGGACGAAGAGGGGGGGAAGAGGGAGCAGGAGGAGGAGGAGGAGGAGGAGAAGGCGTCTTCTACTTTTCTTCCGCCCCCCCCCAGCGGTGATGGCCGCTGGGGAGGGGAGGATGGCGCTTCATCGTGCCCGCATCTTCAAGGCTTGAAGGTGGACGAGGAGGGGACCTCGATCCTCGATCCTTCCTCGTCTTCCTCATCTTCCTCATCTTCCTCATCTTCCTCCTCCTCCTCCTCCTCCTCCTCCTCCTCCTCCTCCTCCTCCTCCTCCTCCTCCCCTTCAAAGTCGACTCCCTGGACGTCTCATGGGGTGCGTTCTGGGAAAACTTTCGACAGCAGTCCAGCCGCGGCGACAAGGGCGCCCCGACCAAAGATGCCCAAGAGCATTCAACAACTCTGGTTCTCGATCATCGATTCTCGGTTGCCGTCGTCATCCTCCTCCTCCTCCTTCTTCTGCTCCTCCTCGCTCCTCCTCGCTCCTCCTCCGTCCTCCTCCTCCCTTCTCCTCCTCCTCCTCCTCCTCCTCCTCCTCCTCCTCCTCCTCCTCCTCCTCCTCCTTCCCGCCTCCCCTGGAGATGGAGGAGCCGGCCTGCTCGCGTCGCAGATGCGCTGCCAGGCACTGCGCGCCCAGGGGTCGCCAGACTGGAGCGCGACGACGTTGGCCTGGGCAGCGGCCTTGAAGTCCGGGTCCCTGTCGAACTCGACCTTCCGAGGTTCGAGCTCCGAGGGCTTTCGGGAATTCGCGCTGCGACTGGAAGTCTTCTCGCCTCTGGATGCGTTCTGACAGCGAGGAGGAGGAGGAGGAGGAGGAGGAGGAGGAGGAGGAGGAGGAGGAGGAGGAGGAGGAGGAGGAGGAGGAGGAGGAGGAGGGGTGTCCGGATCGCCCCGAACGACCGCTGGAGGCCACTCGGGCAGGAAGCACCCCGTGCTCCTCCTCCGGGGCCGAGGACGGCAGGCTTTCTCGGGCGTCTGGTTGCCCTGTTGGGCCTCCACGGCGCTCCTCGGGCTCCTCCCCCTCCTCCTCCTCGCCCTCCTCCCCCTCCTCCTCCTCCTCCTCCTCCTCCTCCTCCTCCTCCTCCTCCTCCTCCTCATCCTCCTCCTCCTCTTCCTCCACCTCCTCCTCCGCCTCCTTCTCTCTGGCAGGCTTTCTTGGACGTCTGGTCGCCCTCAGCAGGAGGATCGAGGTTCGACGAGCGAGGGCCGAGGGGAGGAGAGGCTTGCCAAGTCCTCGATCCCCAATGGGGATCGGGGGCCGAGGAGGTTCGAGGATCGAGGTTCGACGTTCGCTGTCCCTGTCGAACTCGCCCTCAGCAGGAGGATCAGGTCTTGAGGATTGGGGGCTGGATGGGAAGGGGCTCGGGGGTCGACAGCCCAGGAAGTTCGAGGACCGATTTTTCCCTGTCGAGCTCGCCCTCAGCAGGATGATCGAGTTTCGAGGATCGAGGGGAGGGGGCTCGGGGATCGAGGAGGTTCGAGGATGCTCGGGGATCGAAGATCGATGCTCGTGGTCCCTGTCGAACTCGCCCTCAGCAGGAGACTCCGGACTCGAGGATTGAGGGGAGAGGGCTCGGGGATCGAGAAGATTCGAGGATCAAGGTTCGATGTTCGTGGTTCCTGCCGAACTCACCCCCAGCAGGAGGACTGAGGTTTGAGGATCGCAAGAAACCCCCCTGGTTCAACCCCCGCAGGCCCTCAGGGGCCTCTCGGGGCCCTCCTGGCCCCTCGGCCCCTCCCCAATACCAGGCTGTCGTCGCAGCTCAAGCGTCTTCTGGCGCGAAGACTTGGAAGCCGCCCCCAGGGGCGAACAGGCGTCGGAAGTCTGGGGCCAGAGTGGAAGGAGAAAGCGCAAAAAGCCCTGATCCTCACTCCTCCTCCTCCTCCTCCTCCGCCTCCTCCTCCTCCTCCTCCTCCTCCCTGGGCATCCAGACGCCTTGATTTTTCAGGATGGGGTCCCTGGAAGTCTGGACCTACCCCCCGGGGTTCTCGCCCCGAGGCGTGCTCTGACGGCCGTTGGGGGCCCAGCGAGGGCCCCCAGGGCCCAGCGAGCGGCGAAGCACGCTCGCGCGGAGCGCGTGCCCAAGCCGTTGGGTGCCTGGGCGCGCTCCCCGGGTGGAGGCCGCGCCAAACCTGCTCCCAGAATTCTGCTGTTTGGAAGCGACCCGCGATGATCAAAAGATTGCCGCCTTCCCAACCGATGGGGAGGGAACCCTCGTGCAGGCTGGTTCCCAGACGTCAGAGCCGCTGGCTGAGTGCTTCGGAGCCCCTGGCTCAAGCTGGGGCAGGCTTCTGGCCGGCTCCCTGGGGGGGCTGGCGCCGGTGCTGCGCCGAGTCGGGCGCAGACGAAACAGTCTGGGTAAGCTTCCTCCCCTACGATTGGCACGCCCAAGATTGACCACGATGCCGAAAGCGGACGATGCCCAAGTAGGCGACTCCTGCCCCTGACGGGCAACATTCGCGGCGACGCCGAAAGCGAATCCTGCTCAGAACGGGGAGGGACTGCTGTCGGTCTTCGTCTCCACTCTCTGCGTGCTCCGGGTGTCCTCCGGCTCACCTCAGCGGGGTATGAGGGCGAGGGGTGCGCATGCGGTTCTTGCGAGCGTGTCCATCCCGAGCGTCCGTCTCCAGCATCCATCCCCAGTGTTCATCTCCGGTGTCCAGTGTCCCATCCCCCGTGTCCGTTCCCAACGCTCATCCCCAGGGTCCAAGCCCTGTGAGTGTCCCCCGTGTCCATCCCACGTGTCCGTGCCATGTCGGGCCCAGTTCAAGGGGCCCAAGGACACAAATAAATACACACAAATCAAGCGATTCCCCATATTTTCTCTTTTTTTTTGTTTTGGGGGGGGGGGTGTCTTCCCCCCCCACTTCCCATATGTTTGCATATTTTCCTGGGAGTCGACGATTAATTGTGTCTGTGTGTTTCTTTCCCTCCTGACCAGTGTCCATCCCGGAAGTGGACCATGCTGAACCACGAACGCACGCCCTGGGAAAAGATCACCCCGTTCGGGCAACACCACGCTATCTGATAATAAAAAGGGGGTCGCAACCCTGTCAGACGGATAACTTCAGACCCCCCCAGACCGCCATTCAAAGGCGGCCTTTTGCCTACACCCCTCGGAACCCTCCAAGACAGTTCAAATCAGACCTCCCCTCTTGTATACTTTCATCTGGAATACTTAGCCATTGCGATCTTCCCCCACATGGCCAAAGTGTCAAGCCCAGCGGGCGCGCCGAACTGGCCGGGGGCAGCCAGCCTGGCCTTTGCGCTGCGGTAGAACTGCATCAGGTCCCCGATCACCTTCACGCGAAGAACGCGCGGAGGATTGCGAGGAGGGGGGTCGGGAAGGGGGGCAATAGGAGGAAGAGGAAGATACGGATGAGGATGAGGATGGGGAGAGGGCGGAGAAGGAGGAGGGGGAGGAGGAGGAGGAGGAGGAGGAGGAGGAGGAGGAGGAGGAGGAGGAGATCTTGAGATGCCTGCCCATCTCCTCTTCCTCCAGCGCGGTGGCCTCGGGCGCGAGGGAAAGCAGCTCTGCGCTCTCCAGGAGTGGTCGCACAGCGTCCGCCACCGCCTGCTTCGGCACAATGGCCCTCGCCGTGATCGCAAGGGTGGCGGCGTCGACTGCGCGGGCCAGGCCGGCCGGCGGAGTTCGGCATTCCCCGCGGCGTCGCAGATGCCACGGCATCCATCTCGGCGCGGAGGTCGTCCATCTCCTGGCGCAGCTTGGCGAAGTCCCGCATGCGCCCTTCCATGTTGCCGAACCGCTCGTCCACCTTCGCGAAGCGCGTGCCGACCACCTGCGCGAACTCCAGCTGCGATTGCTGGAAGATGGCCCAGGAGGTTCTGAGTATTCTGCTGAAGGTGTGCGCCGAGACGGCGCTCCATGTTGCTGAGCATCGCAGCCATGTCCTGGGGGGCCGATGCCGGCCGCGCCGCCGCCTGCAGCGCGCCCTGGGCCGAAGCGCCTGGCTGCCTCGGCAGCCCAGGCGGCGGGCGGCGGCTGGGCGCCCAGGGCTGCGTCGTCACTAGACCCCAACTGCGAGGGCTGGAAGGTGGGCATGATGTCCAGGTCTGCTGCTGTTGCTGCCACCTGGCTCGCTGTGAGGCGGAGTGGCCCGCCGGGCGCTCCACCGTCGCGGTTGCCCGTCGTCCCAGCACGGCGGCGCTCTGCGGCAGGAGGGCGACGAGGCTGTCGGGTGTCGCGCCCCCCCTCGGCGCGGTCCTGCTGGCGCTGCCTCCGCCGATGGGCCTCGCGACGACGCTGCTCACTGCGAGAAGTGCTGCGTCTGGCGGAGCTGCACGAGGAGGATGACCGAAAACCAAAGCGACCAGCACTGCCTTCAGCACGCGGCGTGGTGGCGGCGGCTGTTTCCGCGGGCGAGTCGTGGAACATCTCGGACGCACCGTCAGCCATGGCGAGAACGGCAAAATTCTCGCTTGCAGCTGAGGTGCTGCCCGTGCGAATGTTGGACAGCAGGAGGTCGATGCGAGAGAACCGCCAAACTAAACTGCCTTGCCTGCCTCGGAGTAGCGGTATCAACGTGCTCCCCTGGGGAACCAAACATCTTGAGTCAAACTGGCTACGGACGAGGAGGAGGAGGAGGAAAAAGAGGAAGAGGCAGGAATGGAGAAATTAAGAGGCTGGAGGGAAGAGAAAGGGATGAAGGGAGGGATGGCGGGTGGGAGAGAGCGAAGGCAGGACGTGATGTGTGGACGGACGGACGGACGCCGATGTCGCCCAGAAGGCGTCCCGTGTAGGGAACGGCGGTGGCGCCGGGGCGCCGGCGAGTATTTAAAAAAACAGGTTGGACAAATCAATAAGCAACTCTAGGCGCGATCTGTCGTTTCGGCGAGGCGCGCCTGCCGAATAACGACTCACCTGACCTGACCCAGCACCTGTTCAGTGGAACACGTGATGTGTGGAGGGAGGAGGAGGAGGAGGAGGAGGAGGAGGAGGAGGAGGAGGAGGAGGAGGAGGAGTTGGAGGAGGAGGAGGAGGAGGAGGAAGAGGAGGGTGACGAGGAGGATGAGGAGGAGGATACACATAATGCCAATGATAATAATTACGATGCTATTAACATTTTAAAAAAGGAGGAGTAAGATGAGGAGGATGAGGGCGAAGAAGAGGAAGAGGAGAAGGAGGAGGGAGCACAGCGTCATGAGATGATCAGTCAGGGACCAACTACAGCATGAACAAGACCGAGTCTGCCGATCGGCGGATCGCTCGAGCGGCCCATTGGGAAATGACGTCGGGGCCCAGCTTGTTGGGTTTGGCTGGAACCAGGTCGCAGAAGTAATGTTTAAAAAAGTCAATCGAGAAGTAATGTCGGGGTCGCGGGTCGCGAGAAGTCAATGTTTTAAATTACGTCGGGGTCGCGAGAAGTAATGTTTAGAAAAGTCAACAGGGTCTGCACGACCAAGGACGCAGGCCCCCGTAAGGCTCCTCAATTCCTAGGCGCTGTGATCCGACCCCCGTCCGAGTTCTGAAAACCCCAAGGCGCCATGCCTGCGACGGTTCTGCTCCGCGGGGGGCCGGCAATGGCAGGCCTTCGACTGGGACGGCCATCCAGGACAGCACCCGACTTTCGACCAATGATCTTGCCGAGCCTCAGGCACCACAAGCAATGCCTAAGCGGGCCAGCGCATTCCGCACAACGAGGATGCACCCCCCCCATAGCGGTTCCTCACCCCAGCCGCCGTAATCCGGCCCCTCGCCACAGTTTTGAAAACCACGACGCGCCATGTAGATGTGGTGAGTGCGAGCAGCACAGAAAAAGCCTCCACACGCCCTGCTCCGAGGGACGACACTTTCAAGATCTCGCAGGGAAGGACGAGGATGAGGAGGAAAAGGCGAGAGCGTCACACATTCAGCGGCCAGTGGTGGGATAAAAAGGAGGGGCAACATTGTAAGGGAGGGGAGAGAAGGAGGGGAAGGTGCAGAAGGGCGAGGGAGGGTGCGGAGGTGTGAGAAGAAGGAGGACGACGAGGGCGAATTGAGGGAGGCTGAAGATGGAGGCTGGAGCTGGGTCGTCGACGTCGTCGTCGTCGCCGTCGTCGTCACCGTCGTCGACGCTGTCGTGGTGGTGGCGGTCGTCTCGTCGTCGTCCAGTCGGCGTCGCTGCCGTGGCAGTGGTTGCCCTAACCTCACCCCCGCTCGCCAGGTCGTCAGACTCGGCACCCTCCGCGCCACCGCCCTGCTTGCGCATGTACTCCAGCAGCATCCCGAACTGGGTTCCCCAGTCGCCCACGTGGTTCAACCTCGCCCTCCTCCTCGTGCTGCTCCTGCTGCTGCTGCTGCTCCACCTCGTTGTCACCCTCGCCCTCGTCGCCGCCCTCGCCCTCGTCGTGGTCGTCATCGTCGTCGTCGCCGTTGTCGTTGTCGTCGCGATCGCCGTCGTCGTCGTCCTCCTCGTCTGCATCGTCGCTATCGTCGTCGTGGTCCTTCTCCTTGTTGCCCACCTCGTCGTCCTCCGTCTCCTTCTTCCTGTTATTCTCGTTCCCCTTCCCGTTTCCCTCCTCCTTCTCTGTTCCTTCTCCACACTTCTCTCCGTCTCTGCCCTCGCGCTCGTCTTCCGACTGCTCCGCCCTGATCCTTGGCGCCCTCCTCCTCCTGCGCCCAGCGCACGGGGGGTAGGACGGGGATGTGACAGGAGTAGGGAGGAAGGAGAAACAGCTTGAGCCTGAGGAAGAGGAGGAGGATGAGGAGGAGGATGAGGAGGAAGCGGAGGAACGGTAGTGGAGGAGAAAGGGGAGCGAGGAGGACGGAACAAAAGGAAGAGGAGGCCCGATGTCCATGGTGACCGCTGCAATCTACGATCGGCAGCGCCGCAACGAAAGGCCAGTTCAGCCGTCATTCGGGCAACCTGGGCCGTTTTGGAATGATTGCGTGGCGTGTTATACGTGTGCGCGCGCGCCCCTGGTTGTGTTAGCTTGCTGCATGCGGTGAAGCTGGTAAGCTATAGCATGCACTTGAGATAGTCGAGCGCACCGTCCTTGAGAGCGAGGCGCGCAAGGGGCCTAGGGGGAGGTACTTGCCCAATGCATGCGCCAGAGTCCATTCGAACCATGGGCATTGCACAAACAAGTGTTTTTGTTCCCCTTGGGCTGACAAGGGCATCCCCAGATACACGTAGTATCGGGGTTGCCGACCTAATATAGGAGGCTCATCTGCCCACCCTCACCCTCACTGCCACCCGCGACAACGTGGGGAAACAACTAGCTACGAGCTCTAGGGCCAAGCCCATACTGCCTCGCTGATGGGCTGAACCACTCTGGGACTCGGGCCCGCACTAGGCCGACCAAGCGGCCAGGGGCGAGGGAGGCGCCCGCGGGGGATCTGATACGACAGCCTAGCAGGAAGGATGGCGAGGTCAGAAGAAAATCAGCGAGCGAAGAACGGTATAACATAAACTTTTTCGCCGTCGGGGGCGCCTGTCCCTGGGCGGCTGGAAAGTTTATACCCCTACGGTGCCGCCGTGAGGGTACAGGGGCAGGCGCCCCCGACAGCGAAAAAGTTTATTTGATGCCGTTCTTCGCCCGTTAAGAAAAGGGCGCAGACGCGGCAAGATGCGAGGCGACCTCCCCGCTGGCCGTCTCCCCTCTGTCCCTTCCCGCCTGCTGGCCCGCCTGCTCCGTCCCGCCGGCCCTGGCCTCCCGCCTGCGTGCTGGCTGCCGTCTGCTTCGAAAGGGGCCCCAGGACACAAAAAACAAATACACACAAATACAAAGATTCCCAATCTTTTCCCATGTTTTCTGGGTTTCTGTCTTCCCCCCCACTTCCAATATTTCTCATTTTTTCTGGGGAAACGAAGATTAATCGTGTCTGTATGTTTCTTCCTCTCCTGATGCTTGCCTGTCGATCCCCTTCTCCCTCTCCGCCGCCGCGCAGTACAGGACTGCCGGGCGGCCACTCCGCGCGGGCACTGCTCGCATGCCTCGAAGACGAGCTCCTCTGCCAGGCCGCGGCCGCCGCGGCCGCCTCAGGGCCACCGAGCGCACCCCTCGCTGCCGAGGCCACTGCTCGCCATCGCTCGTGTTTTTTTTCGGTTTCGTGCGTGGCTTTTTCGCCAAATGATCAAGGATGGTCCTCAATGGTTCTCCCCGAAAAAAAATACACACTGGCGATCGGGCGGGCGATCGGGCGCGACGACCACCACTCCCTGGCCATCGCTCGGACGTCCATTCCCTGTTTGCTTTTTTTCGGTCTCGTGCGTGGTTTTTTCGCCAGATGACCAGGGATGCTCCTCGATGGCCCTCGCCGAGGGAAAAATGCACACGTCCGAGCGATGCCAAGCTCCCGGCCCGCCGTGCCGAGCTCCGCCTCCGCCGGCGCGAGCATCGGGAGCCCTCGTCGGACGCGGAGGCCCAGCGCCCCGAGCACCACCGAGCAGCGGCGCGCGGTGGCGAGGGCCGACCGCCCGAGCGCCGCGCGGCGCGGCCAGCCCGCAGAGGCTGCAGAGGGAGGCGGGCGCGCGCGGGAGGCTGGCCGGGTCGAGCCCCTCCTGGCCAAAAGCGCCTCGGTCCCCCAGCTCGTGCAGCTGGGCCTTCCAGGAATGAGGACACGCGAGGCGCAGATGCTGTAGCGATGCGCCGGCGCGCTCGCCCCGCTCCTCTGGCAGCCGCCTCGCGTGCCAGCACTACTTGGCTACCAGTTAGCCGCTAGCTACAGGGCCCAGCGCGCGGCCGAGTGCCGCCGTCGTGCCCGCGATCTTGGAGTGCGCCCACCCTGGTGCGGTCTGCGCGAGGGCCGCTCGCGCAGCGGCAGCGACCTCCTCCCACAGCGGAACGCACACGCAAACACAACACATAACACACAACACATAAACACAACACACAATACACAACACACACACAATACGCAACACACACAGCACACAACGCACACAAGACACAACACATAACACACACACACCACACACCACACAACACACACACCACAACATACACAACACACAAAACACAACACACAACACACAACACAACACAACACACACACAACACAAACAACACACACACAACACACACGGACACGCACACGCACACGCACACGCACGCGAACACGCACACGCACACGCACACACAAACACACACATAGACAAACACACGCACAAATGAACGCACAAACACAAGCATAAACACACGCACACACAAACACACAAGCACACAAACATCCAAAACACGCAAACACATAAACACACACACGCACCCACACGCACACAGACACACACACACAAACAAACAAACATGCACACGCACCACACTTGGGCACACACACACACACACACACACACGCAGACACACACACACAACCACACATACACACACGTACGCACGCACGCAGACACATGCACACGCAGACGCACACGCACGCGCACGCGCACGCGCACGCACACTCACACGCACACACATAAACACACTCTCACACACAAGCACAAACACAAGCACACAAACACACACAAACACAATCACACGCTCACACATACACGACTACACACAACCACACACAACCACACACAAACACAAACGCACGCACACAAACACACACAACCACACATACAAAAACACACGCCAGCACAAACACAACCACACACAAACACAACCACAACCACAAACACAAGCACAGCCACAAGCCCAAGTACGCACGCACGCACATACACAAACACACGCACACACGAAAAACACACGCGCGCGCACACAACACACAAACACACGCACACCACACACGCAACCACACACACGCACAACACACCTGCACGCAGACAAGCACGCACCCAAACCAACACACGCACACACAGATTTCCTTACTCGGGCGGGGTGACGGAAGCGTCGCGAATGCTTCAGCGGGGCGCGCCCAACGCCAGCAGATATCACCCATCATTGTGGACCTGCCACACACAGATGCACGTGGCCGCATCCAAGGCGAGGCCACCGAAGTGCTTCGCAGTGCGGAGTGCCCGCGCCAGAGCTCGCCGCCCACCCGCACTGGCCGCAAGAGAGATCGCGCGCAGGCGGAGCGCCGACCTGGCTGCTGCCGCGGGCCACCTGAGGTCACCGACGCAAGAGGACACTCTGGTGCGTCCAACGAGCCTCACGAGGTCATCGGGTCTCGGCGATCCGAGGAGTGAGAGGAAGGAAGCAGGGAAGGCACATAAGGAGGAGAGGGGCGGGAGAAGGAGAAGAGATGGGGAGGGAGGAGGAAGAAAGAGGAGCGATGAGGAAGGAGGAAGAGTGAGGAAGGATGAGGAACAATATTGGGGGCAAGGGATGAGGCGGAAGGAAGGAAGATGAACGCGGGGGGGGGGAGGGAGGAGAGAGAGGAGGGGGAGGAGAGTCGACGCAGCGGAGCCTCACCACGTCGTGCCCCAGGCGCTCCAGCAGCGTCGCGATCGTGTCCCCGAGGATCGTCGAGCCTCGGCCCGCGCGCGCCACGGCGGCGGCTCGCGCGCCCGCGGCTGGCTCGGGGCCCGACCAGGACGGCGCCAACACGTCGTCGAGGGCGCCTACTGTGCGATCGAGGGGAGGGGGAGGAACAGGAGGGGGAGGAGGAGGGGCTCGTTGGGACGTGGGCTGGAGTGGAGCCCTGACTCCCTTGAAAGCGAGCCGCAGCAGCGACGAGGGGGGAGCCGAACGAGGGCCCCCCGAAGCGGGCGAGGCGAGGGGACAGAAGGACACGAGCGAAGGGATCGAGCGAGACGCAAAAGGGGCACAGGACAACTCGCAGGGACACAGTTGCATCAATTGGCAATGAGACTGCCAGACACGCAAGTTCGATGCTCATTTCACCCACATCCTATGTTTTGTGTGTTTTCTCGGGGCACCACGCGCAGTCTCCTCTCACCCCCCTGTTCTCCTGTGTCCATCCTTCCACGCATCATCACCATCAACATCAACCTCATTATCATCACCATCAACATCATCATCGCGCACACTGACACACTCACGCACTCACTCACTCAAATTTCTCGAGCGGGACCCGCGTCTGTGAGTGAATCGTGAGACAGTCTCGAGCGGGAGCCCCGACTTATGGGGTCCCCAGCCTCCACGATCGCGTCTGAAGCCGGTCATCCAAACACTGTAGCCGTCGTCATGTTTGATTCCCTCGGGGCCGAATCTGGAGGAACTGTTGAACGGGACCCTGGTCTGTGAATGAATCGCGAGAAAGTCTCAGGCGGGTCCCCGGCTCCATTTTCGAATCCGAGGCGGGTCATCCAAATCCTGTAACAGTCGTCGCTTTTGGGCTCCTCTGGCTCGAACCTAGAAGAAGTTTCGAGCGGGAGCCTCGTCTGTGAGCGACTCGCGAGAAAGCCTCGAGTGGGATCCCCTCCCCATGGGGTCCCCACCTCCATGCTCGAATCTGAAGCAGGTCGCCCAAATCTTGCAACCATCTTCGAGGTTGGTCTCCTCAGGCTTGAATATGGAGGAGGTGTCGAGCGGGATCCTCGTCTGTGACTGGATCGCGCGGAAGTCTCAAGCGGAAACCCTCTCCCCACGGGTTCCCCAGCTTCAAGCTCGAATCCGAGAGGGTCTCTTGGGCTCCTCAGGCATGAATCTGGAGAAGGTCTCGAGAGGGAATTTGGTCCGTGAGCGAATCGCGAGGAAAACTTGAGCGGAAGCTCCTCCCTACGGGATCACCGCTCCGATGTTCGAATCCGAATTGGGTCACCAAAACCGTGTAAGTATGTATCATCGCTCTTGGGTCCTCAGGCTTGACGGAAGAAATCTCGAGCTGGAGCTTCGACTGTGATTGAATCGCGAAGATATCTCGACCGGTAACCCCGTTCAAATTCTGTCGCTGTCGTTTTTTGTGGCTCCTCAAACGTGAATGTGGTGCGGATGAAACTTCCACGGGAACTTCGCCTGTGAGTGCACCACGCAGAAATCTATAGCGGGACACCCCTCCCTATGGGGTCCCCACCTCCATGTTTGAATCCGAGCGGGTCGTCTAGATCGCGTAATCGTTGCCACTTTGGGGACCCCCAGGCTTGAACCTGGAAGAAGTTTCGAGCGGGAGCCTCGTCTGTGACTGGGTCGCGAGGAAATCCCGAGCGAGAGCCCCACCTCGTAGGCGCTCCCGGCCTCCATAGTCGCATCTGAAGCCAGCCATCCAAACATTGGAACTGTCGTCACGTCTGGCTTCCTCAGGCCTGAATCAGCAGGAGGAGTCGAGCGGGATCCTGCTCTGTGAATGAATCGCGAGGACCTCTCCAGTGGGAACCCTCTGTAAGGTGTCCCCAGCTCAACGTGCCAATCACTTGCGTGCCCCGCCCAAAGGGAGGCAGGGAGGAGACGGGGGGGAAGAGATACCGGAGGGCGAGGAGCAGGAGGAGGATCTATGCACGCATAAAATTCACCGACGATGCTGCAATGAACCCTCCCTCCAACTTCCCTATTCGTATGTCCCTCGCAGAATTCATTTTCACTGAAGGAAGTGCCCCGTTGGAAAACAGCCGTTTGAACATCCTGAACTGTGCCAACACTGTCTCTGGAACTTCAACGCCGCGAATCACCGTGACTCTTGCGTCGTGGCGATCCAGAATCGTGCCAGAACGCCATTCCTGGGACTCTAACATCGCGAGCCAACGCTACTTATGTACCCTGACAGTCCGACACTGTTCCAAGACACCATTTCTGGGACGTTAACTCTGATAATCCTTGACGTTGTTATACGATCTTACAACGATTGTGCGCGGCGCTAATGCGAGAACCACCTGCTGACAAGGAACCGCCCTCCATCCGAAAAGCTCTTGCAGTTTGGTTGGACTGCATAATGTGCGCGGCGCTGAAGCGAGAACCACATTTTGAACACCACTTGGCCTCCATCCGCGAAGCTCTTGACAGTACAGTCGGGGCCTTGACCCAAGGAACCCAAAATAAGGAACGAGGCCCCTTTTTCCATAAGTTAAACTTCGTTTTCCGATCGAAAGCATAAGGAGAACCTGAGGCAAGCTGCGAAACACTTAAGGAACGCGGAGCTCCTCCCCAACGAAAAGGGTTCCTTCTTCAGGGCCCCGGGCCCCGACTGTATCACAAACTGGAAGCCACGCTTTGAAAAACCACCCGCCGTCCAGCCGTGAAGCTCTGGCATTGTCCCTGCACCGTTGCGCGCGGCGCTGGAAAGCGAGAACGACACTTGTGAAAACTGTACGCCCTCGCTCCGTGAAGCTCCCGCATTTGCTTCAAAACGAATGTGCGCAACGCTCGGGCCAGGCCCACATCTTGAAAACGCCCCGCCCTCCATCCGGGAGGCTCTGGCACACTGTCAGCTCGAACGGATCACAAACGGCAGGGAAGTCGAGCGAAACGCCCGGCCCGCCCTACCGACGCGCCTCGGGGTTCGACAGGGTGGAGCTGTGTAGAATGAAAAGTGCAGGAGGAGGACGAGGAGGAGGAGGAGGAGGAGGAGGAGGAGCTCCGCCAGGGCAATACAGAGAATGGTGAGGAGGAGACAGAAAAAGAGCCCCCGCTATCGCAAGGACGAATATGAGGTGTACTTCCAGATTCGTTTGGCAGATGCTTTTGCGGGGTCCTACCGTCGAAGTGATGATGAGCTCGATTTCTCATCCTCATCCTCATCCTGTTTAGGACGGGGGGGGGGAAAGGAGAGGGAAATGAATAATGACGATGATGATCAATAGGAGGACACATCAAAGATGATCGAGAAATTCGGTCCGTTCTGGCCCTGGCTGGACCTCCGCAGGCCTCCAGCTGGGAGCTTTCTCGGAGAGCTGCAGAGACCAAATACCTCCGAGAACCTCTGGAGGCCTCCTCCTCCGGAGTAGGAGGACGACGACGACGGCAGCATGACGGCCACGACCAAAGGACGGCCAACGCTCGTCGTTGTCTGGGGGTCGCTTTCGGGTGCACGGTGCGAGGCCTGGCCCAGAAGGTACATTTAATCATTTATATACATATATATACATATATACAGATATGTATATTGTACATACATACATACATACATACATACATACATACATACATACATACATACATACATACATACATACATGCATGCATGCATGCATGCATGCATGCATGCATGCATGCATGCATGCATACAGGCAGACAGGCAGACAGACAGACAGACAGACAGGCATACACATATATATATATATATATATATATATACAAGACTGCAGTGGCGCTTCGCGCCATGCACCTTGGTCCTTGAAGTTTGGTATGCAGGCGGAATAATAGGAAGGACAAGCGGCCAATTTAGCGATAACTCCTTGTTTTTTTTCGGCATCGCCGCTATAATAATGTTTTTTCGCTGTCCTTCCTCCATGTTTCTTTTTCCTCATTTTCGCCATGCCCTGCGCATTCTCCCCATCCTCCTCAGCTCTTTTTTTGCGGAGGCTCCTCCTTGGAGAGCCTCTGAGGGCCTCTCAGAAGTTGTTCCAGGCTTTCCAAAGGCCTTCGGGAGGCCTCCTGGGCGTGTTCTGGGGGCCTCTGGGGGCTTCCTCGGGCCACCCTGCCTCCAACCGCGGTCTCCCTGAACGACCGGGTCACGATTTGGAATGCTTCGGAGGGTGTCTTGGGGCCATCTTGGGCCGCCATCGGGCTCTCTGAGGGCCATCTTGGACCCCTGTTGTGCCGTTTTGGAGCTCTCTCGGACTGCCTGGAAGCCCTTTCGGATGGTTGTGGGGCGTTTTTGGAGCCTCCCAGGCGGCTTCGGACGCCCAGAAGACCGTCGTCTTGGAGCGTCGGGAAGCTGAAAAAAGGACCCCCCCCAAAATTCACAAAAAAACATCAGAAAATCAATGATTTTTGCCTCTTGGGGCCTTCTTGGGAGTGCTCTGGGAGGCCTCTTTGGGGCTGTCCTCGAGGCCTCTTGGGCCATCTTGAGGTCACGTCGGTCACTCTTGGAGCGCTCTTGTGCTGTCATGGGGCTCTCTGGGACGTCTCCGATGACCCCCCTGATCGCCCTAGGTGTGCTGGGAAAGCTTGGCAAGACGCCCTGCGAGGTCCGGGGGGCCGCTTCGAGGCCCGTCCGGAGGTCCCAAAGCCCCAGATCATGGGAGTCCGGTTTTTTTTTGGGGGGGACGGGTTTTTCCCCGCACGGGCTTGCAAAAATTTAGGAAGAGGAAAACCGCCGCGAGAAGTCTACGGGCGCAGCCTTCGCCGACCCTGAGCTTCGTGAGGTGGCCAAGGGCTCTGCGGGCCCGTCGGGAGATATAATTATCCCAGTGCGACCCTACCTAGGAGTTGGAGGATCTAGGAAAGCAACATCTAACATCGATATGAAGCTAAGCTAAGCTAAGATGAAGCTAATCTAAGATGAAATACGATAAGCTAAGATGAGATAAGCAACGCGAAGCTAAGGGAACGTCACTGGGGGAACCGCGGGGCGGATGCCGGGGGAACCGCCCGGGGCGGGTTACACTGCCCAGCCACCAGGGGGCCCCCTCTCCGGGCTCCTGGGCTGGCAAAACGCCCGACCCGCGACAGAGGGCGGCGAGCCCTGGGGGCACGGGACCGGCAGCCGTCGAGCCGCTCCCGGGCCCCCCGCGCCTGCCGAGCGCGACGCGCGCAGAGCAGCCAGTCCCAGGGGGAGGAGGAGGAGGAGGAGGAGGAGGAGGAGGAGGAGGAGGAGGAGGAGGAGGAGGAGGAGGAGGAGGAGGAGGAGGAGGAGGAGGAGGAGAGGAGGAGGAGGAGGAGGAGGAGGAGGAGGAGGAGGAGGAGGAGAGAGGAGGAGGAGGAGGAGGCAGAAGGAGGAGGAGGGGAAGGAACAGGAGGAGGTGGAGCCCGAACTCGCCTGGCCCGTCGTGAGAACGAGGGGCAGCGACGGGGAAGGGAGGGACGAGGGGGGGGGGAACAGCGCCCCGGGATCGGCGATGCATCGCCGGCAGATTGGCGGCGGGCCCCCGACAGTGGACCCGCGTGTTCCTGGGCAGGAGGAGGAGGAGGAGGAGGAGGGAGGAGGAGGAGGAGGAGGAGGAGGAGGAGGAGGAGGAGGAGGAGGAGGAGGAGGAGGAGGAGGAGGAGGAGGAGGAGGAGGAGAGGAGGAGGAGGAGGAGGAGGAGGAGGAAGGAGGCCCCTATTGGCGATCAATGGGCGATTGCCGGCGGCGAGCGAGGGGGGACATGAGAAGGAGAAGGCCTTCTCGGAAGGCGCCAGGACTTCTCGGAACCCCTCGCGCGTTCTGAAAAAAGTGCTCTGTGCCTTCGCGGAGGTCTCACAGACACTCCTCAGACGGCAGGGGGACTTTCGAGCCTTCTGAGAAGGCCCGCCCCTTCTCACTTCCCCCCCGAGCTCGCCGCCGAGATCGGGGGTCGATTGCCCCCCCGCCTATCCCCCTTTCCCCCCCCCCCGGGGCCACTCCTGGGCCCCGTGAGGTGGGTGCCCGGCCCGCTCAGGCTGGGCCCGGAGCGCGAGCCCGCCGACCCTGGGTCGAGGCGCGGCCTGGTCGGCATCGGCGGTGCAGGGGGACGCATGGCTCGGAGGAGGTCGGGGATCTTCTGGACCTGGGTCCGTCAGGCTCTGCACGATCCCGCAAGATCCTGCAGGATCCTGCAGGATCGATCCTGCACCCAAGCCCGGGTCAATGGGCCCCTGGCTCCGCAGGATCCTGCAAGATCTGGCGCTCTGGCTGACCCCCGTTTGCCTTGACCCCGAATCTCTTGAGCCCCGAGGAGGACAAGGTACCCATACCGCTATCCTTCCCTCTTCGCCCTTTTGAGCCTCCTGGGAGGCCCTCGTCGCCACTGCTGGATTCGCCTCGAAGCTCCGGTCAGAACGCAATCCTGGAGAGGTCCGGGGAGTAGCGGTATCTGTATCATTTTTGTTCCCCCATCAATGGGCGTCCTCCGATCGGTGTCGGCCTGGTTCGCATCGGCGGTGCAGGTATGCGTATGATGGGGGACGAAGCCAGGACGAGGATGCATTCGGGTGAGGATAGATAGAGGATCTCTGAGATCTGACCGTTCTAGTGGGATTCATCCTCGTCCTAGCCCCGTCCGATAATTAATGGGCGTCCTCCGATCGGTGTCGCAATCGCGTGCTCTCCCGAGGAGCCGCTGTTCGGCTGCCTTGCCTGCCGAGCAAGGCAGCAGGAACGCCGCGACTGAGACGGCGACATGTGTGCCTCACCCCCCCTCTCAGTCTCCTCCTTCTCCTCCTCCTCCTCCTCCTCCTCCTCCGAATTGCTCCCTCTTCCTCGCCTTCTCCTGCACTTCCTCCTTCTCCACCTCCTCGCCACATCATTCTTCCAGTTTCCTGCCCCCTCTCTGTCTTCCTCCACCGCCTCATCCTCGGCCTCTTCCTCCTCTTCCTCTGCCTGCTATTTCTCCTCCTCGTCCACCTCCTCTTGCTACTTCTTCTCCAGTTTCTGATCCCGCTCCACCACCATCCTGCATCACTCTACCCTTCTTCCTCACTCTTCTCTCCTCCTCCCTTCCCCTGCTCCTCCTAGTGCCTACTCCTTCTCCTCCTCTTCCTCTCCCTGATCCTCCGCCTCCTCCTCCTCCCCCCTTATTCCTTATCCTCCTCCTTCTCCACCTGCTACTGCTGCTCCTCCTTCTCCTCCTTCTCCTCCTTCTCCTCCTCCTCCTCCTCCTCCTTCTCCTTCTCCTCATCCTCCTCCTCCTCACTTTTCAATGCACTCCCCATCCTTCTCCCCCGATCCGCCGATCAGTCTTGCGAACCCTGCCCCGAACTGTCGCCGCGTGGTGTGCGCGCCAGGGGCAGGACGGAGGTGGCCGACGTGCATCTCCTTCGCGATGTTCGGAGAGGAGTAATCCAGGACGATTCTCTGCGGCGACTCTGCCCTGAAGCGCAGCTCGCCCCGGTAGAGCTCCCTGACCTTGAGGGGCCGCCAAACTCTATTCCTCCCTCTTCGAGCTTCCTCCAACTACATCCTCAGGTGTTCTCCAGTTCTGTTTCTGCTGCGATCTACTCCTCCTACTGCTCCTCCTCCTCCTCCTCCTTCCTTCCTCCTCCCTGCTCCTCCTCTTTATCCTCCTCCTTCTCCTCCTTCTCGTCCTCTTTTCTCCCCCTCCTTCTATTCACCGCCCTCTTTCACTATACTCTGGCTGTTTCCTCGTCCTCCTCCTCCTTTTTTCCTCCTCCTCCCCCTCCTCCTCCTCCTCCCTCCTCCTCCTCCTCCCTCCTCCTCCTCCTCCTCCTCCTCCTCCTCCTCCTCCTCCCTCCTCCTCCTCCTCCTCCTCCTCCTCCTCCTCCTCCTCCTCCTCTCTCCTCCTCCCCCGCCCGTCCTCACCGCCTCCTCCTCCTCCTCCTCCTCCTCCTTCTCCTCTTCTCCCTCCTCTTCCTCCTCCTCACCATCCACATCCCAAGCCATCCCTTCCTCCTCCGATGCGACCGAGGCCCATTCCAAACGGCGCTGCGCAGCGGCCCGCCGCGAGCGCGGTGCAGGGTTGCGAATCGCTGACGCCGTCGATGCGCACCCATCCCAGATAAACGACATGAACCAAGTCTTATCATTCTGTGCCTCCCCTGCTGCTCCTCCTTCAATTGCCCTTCCTCCACAGCTCATCTTTCTCGTCCTCCTCCTTCTCCTCCTCCTCTTCCTCCTTGCCTCCTCCCCGTTCCTGTCTTCCCTCTCCCTTTCCTCCTCTCCCTCCTGCTCATCCACTTCCCTCTCCTCCTTGCGCTCCCCCTCTCACTCTTGCTTCCACCCCCCTCCCCCGCATCTCCTCCCCCCGCATCTTCCCCCACTTCCTCCTCCTCCTCCTCCTCCTCCTCCGTCTCCTCCTGCTCCTGCCGCTCCTCCTCCTCCTCCTCCTCCTCCTCCTCCTCCTCCTCCTCCTCCTCCTCCTCCTCCTCCTCCTCCTCCGCCCACTCCTGCTCACTCAGGCCCGTCCGCTTCCTGCCTGGCTCGGATGACCTCCTGCGGCGTCGAGGCGCCGCAGCCATCGTCGCCACCGACGTCAACGTCAGCGTGATCCTCAACGTTGACCTCAACGTCTCAACGTCATCAACGTCATCGTCGTCGTCGTCGTCGTCGTCATCGTCGTCGTCATCGTCGTCGTCATCGTCGTCGTCCTCCTCCTCCTCCTCTTCCCCCTCCTCGTTCTCGTCCTCCTCCTCCTCCTCCTCCTCCTCCTCTTCCTCCTCCTCCTCCTCCTCCTCTTCTCTCCTCCTCCCCCGCCTTCTGCGTTCCTCTTTGTCTGCCCCAGTCCCTGGAGGATGTCTCAGGCAAAAACTGTAGTTTTGAAAATCGTCGTCGTCAAAGATCCCCATCCATCATCCCCGTGTTGTGAGGATGTCCCAAGCGAAGCGCCCCCAACATGTTGGATGTCCGACGCGACCAAAGGACACGTGAAAACACGTGTCCCGTGCGCCCCCCCCTCCGCGCAAGCATTTTTACGTGTGAAGAATCCGACGCTAGTGAATCCCACCAGCCCTCTGGGCGACATTTCTTTCCTCTTCCACAACACCTTCTTCCCCGTCGGGGAAAGGCTGCGGCCAACCCGGAACCATGCCGACTCCATGCGGGCCCGTCCCCCACCATCATTTTCAAAAAACAAGACAGGCCGCACTCTGCCTCCACATTTGGAGCATGCGCGGCCAACCAGATGCCCCCCACTACCCCTGTCAAACAACGCTGCAAAGTACACGCTGGGGCAAGTTTTGAGTCATGTTCGTGAGGGCCGCGAGCACTTTGTATTGCTTTTGACAGTGACGGCGGGGGTGTTAGCATATTCCCTGCGGCACGCGGGGCGACCATCCCTGACAAAAAATAATACAACATGCGCCCCGCGGCTAAATCTGGATCACGCGCGGCCATCCCGCGATCACTGCCAAGTGGTTTTTGACAGGGACGGCGGAAGTGGTGTCTCGTGGCCTGCTGTGCGCAGACCCGCCAGACACAATGATGGGTATTGATTTTCGACAAGGATGGCGGGGGCCTACATGTTTCCTGATGTGTGCAGTCACGTGCGCAGGCGCACCTGACGACGTGCCCCTAACGTGGCGCACCTGGCGCGGCTGGAGTTTGCGGCACACCTGGCGCACTCGGAGCACGTGGCGCATCTGGCGCACCAGGCGCGCCTGGCACGCTCGGGCCCCAGGGGTGCATGGCGCGCGTGGCGCCCCTGGCACGCGTGGCGCACCTCGCCCAAGCGTCGCGCAGCTGGGGTCGGCTTTGGCTCCCAGTAACTGCCCATCCAAAGACAACCGCTGAACATGCTCAGGCTCGGGTGTTACTTATATGTTGGGAGGGCGGGTGGGAGTGAGCTAGACGGCTTGCGGGCGGGTAGGGAGCTTGACCCCTCCCCCTCCCTCCTCCCCCTCCCCCGGACTGGGGTTTCGCTAGGTGTTGGAGCGTGCAAGATGACTCAAGATGGCTCCCAGAGGGCCTCAGAGAGCCAAGATCGCTCAATATAGCCCGTCATGGCTAAATCTAGCGAACAACATGCCTCCAAGAGGCCCCAAGCGGGCCACAAGACGGATCCAAGTGTTTTTGGCGACCCCTCAGGACCTCCCCGAGAAGCTCACATCCTCAAAAAACCTAAGGAGCATCACTGATTGTTGCCTTCTCGCCATTTCGCTTCCGATGCGCTTTTGAGGCCCCAAGATGGCCCTAATATGGCCCACGAGAGCTCCAAGAAGGGCCCACGAGGCCCCCAAGACTGCCCCAAGAGTGCCCACGATCGCCCCAAGAGAGCCCCAGAAGAACCCCAAGAGGCTCTTTCGATGTCTCCGTAGGGGTGAGGCACATCGAGGGCCCCCACTCCTTTGATCGATGGCCTACAAGATGGCCCCAGGAGGCGCTACATAGCTCCAAAGAGGGCCCCAAGAAAGCCCCAAGAGAGCCCAAAGAGGCCCCCATGAGGGCCCCAAGACGCCAAACCCCCCCAAGAGCCCAAAGAGCGCCCCAAGATGCCCCAAAAGAGCTCCAAGAGGACCCCACTATCCCCCAGTACAGCCCAGTAGCTCCAAGAAGGCCTCCGATGCTCCAATATAGCCTCCAGTCTGGCTCAACACCCTCCTTCCTCTCCTCTCCTTGCACGCTCTGTTTCACTACATGTGTCTCTTCGCCCCTTTTCCCGCTTGCTCTCACGGGCAGGGCTCCTGAATGGGCTGGTGGGAATTTCGCGACGCATAAACAACTAGGTGCCCCTCTGGGGGGCCCGTTGTCGCCAGGAGCGCGTGAAAACACATACGGAGCACATGCGCGATGAGACGCATGTTGGCGGCCCCCGCCTTCCGCACATGTATTTTTACGTGCCCAATTCGGACGCCACCTGCTCGACACCTGTCTGGTACATGGCTATCGGCTCACGCACCAAAAAAGAATCCCGGGCCTGAGCCCTTACCAGAAACGTCTGCCCCCATACCCTGGTCAAGACCTTCCTTATCGGTCCTCCTCCAGCCCCCTCCTCCAATTATCTCCTCCTCCCTCCCATGGCTCCCTATCCTCCTGCTCCTTTTCCTCCTCCTCCTTTCCTCCTCCTCCTCCTCCTCCTCCTCCTCCTCCTCCTCCTCCTCCTCCTCCATCCTCCCTCTTCCGTCGTCGTCGTCGTCGTCGTCGTCGCCGTCCTCGTCGTAGTCGTCATCGTCGTCGTGGTCGTCGTCGTCGTAGCCATCGTCGTGGTCGCGCTCACTCCTCCTCCTCCTCCTCCTTCTCTTCCTCATCCCCCATGCCTTTCCCTGATACAGAGCTCCCCCTGTCGCACCCCCCACCGTGTCGGTAGGGCGGGCCAGGCGTTTCGTCTGAGACTTCGTCGCCATTTCTGATTCTGAAGCTTGAGATTTGCTTTGATCCGTGGTGCTTAGTTAGGACTGTCAGGACGCAGCAATCACGTGGATCCGCGGCATCGAAGCCCCATTGACGGTGTTTTGGTACGGTTGAAGATTCTCCGACGGTTGTCTTTTGATGGGCCATCTCCCGCAATGGGGCTAAATTCTTGTATGGGTGAAAGGGAACTTGGAGGGAGGTGTTAATGCAACATCGCTGATGCGCCTTGGGTTCACACTGGTCCGCCTCCTCCTCCTCTTCCTCCTCATCTGCTCCTCTTTCTCCTCTTCCTCTTCCTCCTCCTCCTTCACCTCATCATCAGCCTGTTCATCCTTGTGGTCCTCCTCCACCGCCTCCTCCTCCTCTTCTCCCCTCCGACTCGCTGTCCTGCTGCTGCTGCGCCTCCTCCTTCTCTTTCTGCTTCCTCCTGCTACATCCTCCTCCCTCTTTCTACCCCTCCTTCTATTCGCCGCCCTCTTCCTCCATACTCCGGCCCTTCCCTTGTCGTCCTCGTCCTCAAATCCTCTCAAGTCCTCTTCCTTCTAAATACCTCCTCCCTGTCGCACCCCGAGGTCAATCGAAAAGGCGGGCCGGGCGTTTCGCCTGAGACTCCCTCACCTTCCTCACCGTTTTTGATCCTGAGGCAGCTTTCAAATTTGCCGCAGCTTCACGGATGGAGGGCGGGCCGTTTTCAAAATGTGGCTTTCGCCTTAGCACAACACACATACGTTCAACAATGAATAGTAAGTTTCGCGGATGGGGGGCAACTCCTTTTTTCGAAATGTGGCTCTCGTCTGAGCGCCGTGCAGATTCGTCTTAAAAAGTTACAGCAGCTTCACGGATGGAGGGCGGGTCGTTTTCAAAAAATGGCTCTCGCCTGAGCGCCGCGCACATTCGTTCAAACATGTGGCAGAATTTCACGTATGGAGGGGCGGGCCGTTTTCAAAATGTGGCTTTCGTCTTAACGCCGCGCACATTATTTCAAATATGTGCCAGAGCTTCACGGATGGAGGCCGATTCCTTTTCAAAATGTGGCTCTGGCCTTTGCGCCGTGCACATTCGTTCATTCGTTTTACGAATGTACAGCAGTTTCAAGGCGTCTCATGGTTAACGTATCAGACACGGTGTTTCCACACGATGCCGGACTGTCAGGGCGCAAGGGTCATGTTGATTAGTCCCTGGAAAGTGTTCTTGCGCGGATCAGGATCGCCACGACGCAAGAGTAACGATGATTCGCTGCGTTGGTGTCCCAATAATGGTATGCTGGCACAGTTCAGGATTTTCAAACGGTTGTTTTCCAACGGGGCACTTCTTGCAGTGAAGACGAAACCATGGAGGGGCCTATGAGCAGGTAGCTTGGAGGATGAGTTTATCACAATATCGTTGATGCGTCTTGGGTTTGCAGTCGTCGTTGTCCTCCTCCTCCTCCTCCTCATCATCATCATCAGCATCATCATCATGATCATCATCATCGTCATCATCAACATCAGCATCAGCATCAGCATCAACATCAGCATCAGCATCAGCATCAGCATCAGCATCAGCATCAGCATCAGCATCAGCATCAGCATCAGCATCAGCATCAGCATCAGCATCAGCATCATCATCATCATCATCATCATCATCATCATCATCATCATCATCATCATCATCATCATCGTCACCACCATCGATTCCTTTTTCCTTATAGCTAATTTCTCCCTGTCGCACCCCGAGGCCAGATTTTAGGAGGGCCGGGCGTTTCGCCTGAGACTTCCTCACCATTTATGACTCTGAAGCTTATTACACTTTGGCAACCGTTTCACAGATGGAGGGCGGGTGGTTTTCAAAATGTCGCTGACGCCTTAGCGCCGCGCACAATCATTCTAAAACTTCGCCAGAGCTTCACGGATTGAGGATCACCCGTTGTAAAAATGTGGTTCTCGCCTTAGCGCCGCGCACTTTCGTTCTAAAACGCGGCAAGCGTTTCACGGATTGAGAATAACCCGTTTTCAAAACGTGACTCTCGCCTTGGCGCCGCGCATATTCCCTTCTAAAGTGTCGCAAGAGTTTCTCGGATTGAGGGCAGCTCCTTTTCAAAATTTGGCTCTCGCATTAGCGCCACGCCACGCACATTTGTTCATACAATTTGCAAAAGGTTTCACGGATCCCCGCGATCAACGTACCAGAAATTGTGTTTTGGAAGGATTCAGGATTTTGCGGGTGCAACGCTTACGTTGGTTCGCGGTGTTGAAATCCCAAGAATCACGTTCTGGCACGGTCCATGCTCGTCAAGACGAAACAATCAGGTTGATCCGTGGCGTTGGAATCCCGAGAACAATGTGTTGGCATGCTTCCAGGTCTTCAAACGGTTTCTTCCAACGGGGCAAATCCCGCAATGGAAAAATAATCGTTCTAGGGGCCTATGAAGAGGGAGCTTGGAGGGAGGGTGTATTCCAACATGGTTGGTGGCTCTTGGGTTAACACTGGTCATCATGCTCATTATCATCCTCATTCTCATCCTCATCCTTCTTCCCCCATTCCTCCTCCGTCACTTTGTTTTTCTTCTCCTCCTCCTCCTCGTCCTCCTCCTCCTCCTCTTTGGGGGCGGCCTGCTCCTCGAGCCAGTCCTGCCGGAGCTTGACCGTGACGAAGCCCTGAGATGGAAGGGGGGGGGTATCCTGGACGCCCTGAAGCAGGAACGGAGGGGTGAGGGGGAAGCGCTGTCAGTGCATCGAGGGGAGAAGGCGAAGGCTCAGAAGAGGGGGACGAGGAGGGGGATAGGGATGGATGGGGCAAGTCTGGGGAGGATGAGGGGGAAGACGAGGACGAGGAGTAGGTGGAGGATGATGAGGAAGAGGTGGTGTGAGGAGGAGGAAGACGTAGAGGAAGAGGAGGAGGAGGAGGAGGAGGAGGAGAAGGAGGAGGACAGGAGGAAGAGGAGGCGGAGGAGGAGGAGGAGGAGGAGGAGGAGGTGGACAGGAGAACAGGAGGAGTGGAAGGAGGAGGAGGAGGAGGAGGAAGCGGACGAGGAGGAGGAGGAGGAGGCGGGCGTGGAAGCGGTGGAGGGCAAGGAAAGGGATACGGAATATTCATCATCAATATGAGGGAGAAGACGGATCCGCCGACCCCCGCTTGCCGGGGGGTGAGGAGGCGTATGGGGCATTTGGCTGTCCCCCCCCCCGTCCCCCCTCCCCCACCCCAAAGGGGTCCCAAATCCCGCTCTAGGGGGGAACGGGGAGAGGGGTGGAGGGGGGAGGGGTAAATCGTCTCATTCCCATGTGAAGACATACGTTCTTGGCCTACTCGCCGTCTTCGTCTTGACACCGTGCAGGACGGCCCAACAGGCTCCCGAGATCGCCCCAAGATGGCCCATGAGGCCCCCAAGAAGGCCCCGAGACGGCTCAAGAGGGCCAAGAGGGGCCCAACACTGGGAGTACGAACTGATATTCGAGCCTTTCACCTCGAGATTGCCCCAAGAGCCCCCCGAAGACCCCGAGGGCTCCCAAGAGCCCTCCCAGAGGCCCTCAAGAGACGCCCAAGCGGCCCCAAAGCAACCCCCCAAACCCTCCAGATGCCCCGAGAGGCCCCTTTTGCTCCTCGCCCTCCTCCCCTGCACGTCCTTTTCCTCTCCTGCTTTCTTTCCAACGAATCTGTCAAATCTTTCCTTGGGGGTCGGCGGAATGGCGTAAGCCTCTTGAGCAAAAATAAAAAAGTCGGAAGAGTGGGAGAACCAGTAGAGGAGGAGGATCAGCATACTCAGGACCAGGAGAAGAAGAAATGACGTGCAGAGGATGGACGACGCAGACAGTGGAGACGAAGAAGAAAAACGAGGAGAGATAGCAGGGACCGTCGACCCCACGATTTGTCCTAGGGTGTGCACTGGACCTGGCCAGAACTTCCAGGGGCAGCCACCCGTGGCGCTGAGAGGTCCCCAGGAGGCCGAGAAGAGGCAAAGAAAGCCCTCGAAACCTCGATCCTCGACAAGACTCCCTCCGAAAATGATGGCTAGGGGATCGCTGACCAAGCTGCCAGGTTAACGAGCGGGCCGCCATTGAACAGTCCCTCGGGGCCGTTGGCCGCAATGAAGAACTGCCAACGGTGGACATCCATTGCTTTTGGAACCCCCCACTCGCAAACCTGCTACCGGGGGTGCTAGCGAGGGTCCGCCAAGGCATATCGAGAGCCGGTTCGGACGCGGATGCCCTGAACACCTGCCTCTTGCCCGGCTCCTCCTGCTCCCCCAGCCCAACTCCCTACTTGGGAGAGGAGGAGGAGGAGGAGCAGGAGGAGAAGGAGGAGGAGGAGGAGGAGGAGGAGGAGGAGGAGGAGGGATGAGGAGGAGGAGGAAAGAGGAAGGAGGAAGGAGGAAGGAGGAAGGAACAGGGGGAGGAGGACCAGTGTAAAACCAAGACGCGTCCACGATATTGTAATCTTCCAACTTCCCTCTTCATAAGCCCCTACATGGTTCATGTACACTGAGTGAAGTGCCCCGTTGGAAGACAACCGTTTGAAAATCTGGAAAGGAAAATCAGAACGCCATTCTTGGGACATCAACGCTGCGAATCACCGGTATTGCTACGTCTTGACGATCCTGAATCGTGCCAGGACACCATTCCGGGGACCTCAACACCACGGGTCAAAGCGACAGTTGCGCCCTGACGTTTTGACATCGCACCAAAACATAATTTCTGGGACGCCGACCGTACTAATCCTTGAAACTGCTGCAAACACTTGAGACGAATGTGCGCGGCGCAAAGGCGATAACCACATTTGGAAAAAGGAACCGCCCTACATCCGCGAAGCTCTTGCAAACTACAAGAAACGAATGTGCGCGGCGCTGACGCGATAATCACATGTTGACAACGACCCGCCTTCCATCCGTGAAACCCTTGCAAGCTTTTATCACGAATGTGCGCGGAGCATTCCTAAAACGGACCGCGCTCCACCGGTCAAGCTCTTGCAAACTTTGACAGCACTACTGCGACTATGACTACTACTACTACGATTAATATCACTAATCTCATTACGACTACTACAACTGAGACTACGACTACGACTGCTACTACTACTCCTACTACTACTACTACTACCACTTCTGCCAATACTACGAGTAATATTACTACGACTACTGTTTTTACGGCTAGTACTATTACTATCACTACTACAACTACTTCTACGACTACTACTACTAATACCACTACTTCTACTACCACTACTACGACTTCTCCTACTCCTACTCCTACTACTACTACTACTACTACTATTATTACTACTACTACTACTACTACTATGCTACTGCTAGTACTACTACTACTGCTACTACTGCTACTACTGCTACTACTACTACTACTACTACTACTACTACTACGACTACGACTACTACTACTACTACTACTACTACTACTACTACTACTACTACTACGATTACCAGTATCATCACTCTCCTTGCCATTACTAATCGTACTGGTAATTCTTTTTTCTTTTACCACTACTACTACTACTGCTACTACTATTACGTTTGCTACTACTTCTTCTTCTACTAGGTTGTAGTCGACATGATAGTACTTCGTGGTAGTAAAGGCAAGAGTAGTTGTAATGGTAACAATCGGAGTAATCGGAGTCGTCGTAGGAGTAGTAATCGTAATCGTCGTCGTAGTAAAAGTAGTAGGAGTCTTACTAGTAGTAGTGATAGTAGTAGTAGTAGTAGTAGTAGTAGTAGTAGTAGTAGTAGTAGTAGTAGTAGTAGTAGTAGTAGTAGTAGTAATACTGGAAATAAGGGTAGTCGTTGTCGTAGTAGTAGTAGTCGTAGTCGTAGTAGTAGTAGAAGTAGAACTAGTAGCAGTAGTGATAGTAGTCGTAGTAGTCGTCGTAGTAGTAATTGTTTTAGTCGTAATAATGGTAGTAGTAATAGTAGTAGCAGTAGTAGTAGTAGTAGTCGTAGCAGTAGTGGTAGCCATAACAATAATACTAGTAGTAGTACTAGTAGTAGTAGTAGTAGTAATAATAGTAATAGTAGTAGTAGTAGTAGTAGTAGTAGTCGTAGTAGTAGTAGTAGTAGTAGTAGTAGTAGTAGTAGTAGTAGTAGTAGTAGTAGTAGTAGTAGTAGTAGTAGTAGTAGTAGTAGTAGTAGTAGTAGTAGTAGTAGTAGTAGTAGTAGTAGTAGTAGTAGTAGTAGTAGTAGTAGTAGTAGTAGTAGTAGTAGTAGTAGTAGTAGTAGTAGTGATCGTACTCACACTAGTACTAACCGTAGTAGTGGCAGTAGCAGTCGCAGTAGTAGTAATAGTAGTAGTAGTCGTAGTAGTAGTAATAGTAGTAGTAGTACTAGTAGTAAGAGTAGTAATCGAAACAGCACAAGTAGTTGTAGTCGTGGTGCTCGTTGTGGTAGTAGTAGTAGTACTAGTCGTAGTAGTAGTAGTAGTAGTAGTAGTAGTAGTAGCAGCAACAATTGTAGTAGTGGGCGCAGGAGTAGCCGTAGTAGTCGTAGTAGTTAGTAGTAGTAGTAGTAGCAGTAGTAGTAGTAGTAGTAGTAGTAGTAGTAGTAGTAGTAGTAGTAGTAGTAGTAGTGGTAGTAGTAATCGTAGTAGTAGTAGCAGCAATACGACTACGACTAATAGTCGCAGTCGAGTCGTAGTAGCAGTAGTAGTTGTAGTTGTAATAATCGTACTTTTCCTATTAGTTAGTAGTAGTAGTAGTAGTAGTAGTAGTAGTAGTAGTAGTAGTAGTAGTCGTAGTAGTAGTTGTAGTTGTAGTAGTGGTAGTCGCAGTAGTGGTAGTAGTAGTAGTAGTAGTAGTAGTAGTAGTAGTAGTAGTAGTCGTAGTAGTAGTGGTAGTAGTGGTAGCAATTGTGGGGGTAGTACCAGACGTACTAGGTGCATTAATCGTGGCATTCGCGGTAACACTCAACGTCGTAGTAATAGCAACTGTAGCCGTAGTACGACATGTCGTAGTACTGATGGCATTACTAGTACTTTCGCTGCTGGCAATGGTGATCGGAGTCGTGGTCGTGGTAATACGAGTCGTAGTCAGGGTAATGGCAGTAGCAATAATAGTAATAGTTGTTGTTGAAGTAGCCGTCGCCGTATTTTCAACCTCAAGACTACCGGTAGTACTAGTAGTAGTACTAGTAGCAGTAGTACTAATATTAGTCGTGGTGAAAGTAGTAGTAGCAGCAGCAGTAGTAGTAGTAGTAGTAGTAGTACTCGTAGTAGCAGTCGCATTACTCGTACGGCTACTACTAATACTAATCGTCGTCGTCGTATTCGCAGTAACAGTTGTAGTCGGGATGACATTATTATTCTGAGTAGTCGTGGTCGTAGTAGTAGTAGTAGTCGTCGTAGTAGCAGGAGTAGGAGTAGTCGTAGTAGTGGTAGTCGTAGTCGTAGTCGTAGTAGTAGTAGAAGTTGTTGTAGTAGTAGTCGTAGTAGTAGTCGTAGTAGTAGTAGTAGTGCTGGTAGTAGTAGGAGCAGCAGGAGCAGGAGTAGTCGTAGTAACAGTAGTCCCAGTGGTAGCAGTAGTAGTAGTAGTAGTAGTAGTAGTAGTAGTAGTAGTAGTAGTAGTAGTAGTAGTAGTAGTAAAAGTAGTAGTAGTAGTAGTAGTAGTAGTAGTAGTAGTAGTAGTAGTAGTAGTAGTAGTAGTAGTAGTAGTAGTAGTAGTA